ATCGATAGGACTTGCTAGTTTGTAAAAGTTAAAAATTCACCAAACACATCTTCAATGTTTTAACCCCCAGAATAGTCCTTATGATTTTTTCCCCCAAGACAAGGTTTGTTTGTGTAACTTTGCTCCTGGAACTCACTCTCTAGCCCAGGCTGGCCTCGAACTCACAGAGATCCGCCTGCCTCTGCCTCCCGAGTGCTGGGATTAAAGGCGTGCGCCACCACCGCCCAGCTCTTTACAATGTTTTTAGTGACATGGACTCTGTGATTCTCCCAGTTTAATGAAAATACGGACTCCTCTGCTTTCTAGATGTACATTTGACCCTTCCTGTGCAGCCAGTTGGGATTGGGTATTTGCTTGCTACTGCGCATGCCCCTCCCTCCTACCCGTGGATAACAATGTGGTTCTAGAAGAGGATGGGGTTGCAGAGACCTGTGGAACTGCTCCAAGAGTTTAGAGTCATGGCTGACAGCTGGCTCCCAAATGATGATCAGTTCCCTTAACTGGGTGAAGATCTTGGGCAAGCAGAGTCACACTTCAAAAATCAAGTCAGTGGGCTTTCCCTAGGGGTATGGAGCCACATGTAAGCTGAGACCTGAGGCATAGGTTTTGACAAACTGGCAGAGATGAGCTTTCCAAGAGTGGGAAGGTCTATTAGATACACATTACTACACACACACACACACACACACACACACACACACACACACACACACAGACACTACTGTTGCTGGAGGGCTTCTCTCCAGGTTCCACCAAGCCCCAAAGTCCCACAATCCACATATAAAATAATCACTCAGACGCTTATATTACTTACAAACTGTATGGCCGTGGCAGGCTTCTTGCTAACTGTTCTTATAGCTTAAATTAACCCATTTCTATAAATCTATACCTTGCCACGTCGCTTGTGGCTTACCGGTGTCTTTACATGTTGCTTGTCCTGGCGGTGGCTGGCAGTGTCTCCCCCTCCTTCTTCCTGTTCCCTCGATTCTCCTCTCTCCTTGTCCTGCCTATACTTCCTGCCTGGTCACTGGCCAGTGTTTTATTTATATAGAGCGATATCCACAGCACACACCCTTAGAGCTCTGTGGGTGGTAAACTCTTGGGCTTGAAGCTTCGTAAACTGAGGCAGGAAATCATGAACTTGAGGCCAGCCTGATCTACATAGCTGGTTTCAGGCCAGCTTGGGCTGCTCAGTCAATCAATCAATCAATCAATCAACCCTTAGATATGGAAGTGCCTACTACAGTTTCCCACTCAATCTTTCTTGGGGAAGAATGGGGCATAGAACATTTATTCTTCTATACTTGAATGCTTCAGTCCTACTTAGATAATAGACAGCAACAGATTTACTTTAGTGATTCACTGAACCCTAAACTCCAACTGGCCATGCTGTGTTTTATTGATTAAATATTTATGATATCCGTGTGAGTGTGTGTGTGTGTGTGTGTGTGTGTGTGTGTGTGTATGTGTGTGTGTGTAAGAGAGAGAGAAGACAGAGACAGAGAGACGACACAGAAAGATAGAGTGTGTGGGTACGATGTACACGTGTCTACGATGTATGTGCACGTACGTGTGCACATGTATACCATGTGTGGAGTTCAGAGGACAACCTCTGTCTTGCTGAAGGAGATTTTCTCTTGTGTCTGCTAGGGTTACAGATCGTGTTCAGTGTACAGAGTTCTGGGGGATGGAACCCCCCCGGCTTCTCCTATGCTGCTGGGCAAATACTGCCAACTCCACACCCCCAGCCCAGAAAACAATGCTTTAAAGATAAGTGTGCATACACGCACACACACACACACACACACACACACACACACACACACACACACAGAGAGAGAGAGAGAGAGAGAGAGAGAGAGAGAGAGAGAGAGAAACAACAGGCTCTTAAGGCACTTAGGCATGGCTCTCTCCTGATAATCCCACAGCCTGTAGCCACCCACTGTCTTTTCCTTAACAAGCCTCGGCTTCACTTGACTCTGACTCCTCTGGAACTCTTCCTGCAGCTGAAGCCAGGATCCTGGCCATGTCTGAATAGAGGTCTCTGGACTCCTCAGACAGCTGGCAGCGAGGGCTATGGCCCTCCGGCAGCGACTTTTCTCCTTTGAAGGGGCTTCTCTCCCTGGTCGGCTTGCAGCAGGCTCTTCTTGGCTGTAGTGGGGTCTGTTTAGCACATGGTAAGCTGCGTCAGTGGACTTTCCCGATTTGCTGCTTGTAACACCACCCTCCCTCTATTGAGACAACTTAATGTCTCCAGCTAGTGTTGCTGTGTCCTGGCGGGAGGGTGGGGGTCGGCAAAAGTCCTCCCCGGCTGAAAGACACCACCACTCAATGAAAGACACACGCTGGTCACCCCCTCCCTCCCTCCCCCTCCTCTCTCTTGAGGCACAGTCTTGTTCTGCAGACCAAGCTGGCTACCCTCTTGCCTCAGCCTCCCGGAGTGCGGGGATTATACAAGTGTGCCACCATGCCTGGGGGAAGAGCTATTTCTACATCTGGGACAAGAGTCCCCCGGCAGAATGAGAAAGAAGAAAGCCAACACACAGCCAAACGCCCTACAATCTTTTCGCCGGAGGCAATCCTCACCTAGGGATTTCCCCCTCCAGATAACTGTCAAGAACCTCTCCTTGAGAGGTCCTTGCCTTTGCTGTTTTAAGTATTTCTTAGTTCCTTACCAGAAGTACTTGAAAAGCTCCCACTTTCCTGAAGCAGAAAGAGGAAGAATGTTATATTTTTGGAATTCGGCAGGACCGTTATCTGAGATAGAGACAGATGGGAGCCTAGGGGAGGTTACGGAATAAGCAGTGGGGCCGTGGCCCTGACCACTCCACGCCGAGTGCTCCGTGTAGGCTCCGATGGTCTACTGCAGACCAGCAGCTGCTGAGTCTGGCTAGAAACTGCTTAGTAATACGGCTGGATTTTTCTCTTTTCTCAGATCGCAGTCTTTAAAACAAAACATGTATTAAGTGTGTGTGTGTGTGTGTGTGTGTGTGTGTGTCCACATGTCACAGTGTGCATGCGGTAGTCAGAAGACAAGTTATGGAATCAGCTCTCTCCATCTATCGTGGGTTTCAGGTATTGAACTCAAGTTGTGGGCCTTGGCAGCAAGTGCCTTTTCCAGCTGAGCCATCTTGCCAGCCCCTTTCTGGGCTTTTCTAAATAAAGCAAAGAGAACAGGGACATTTAGAAGGTATAATTGGATTTAAAAAAAAAAAAAAAAGACTTAATTACATTCTTCTGCACCTTGGAGGAGCTGCATTCTTCTTCGCCCTAGGAAACCCATTTCTTTTTCCTTTTGAGAAATGTGTGAGGAAATTGAACAATAGCTTAACAATTGAACATAAGCTTTAAACATTTACAGAGAAAGGGACTTTTCTCTCTTTTTCAGTAACACGCTTGTCCCTGGTGAACTCCCACAGCAGCCAATTTGAGGGGAGAGGAGAAAATGTATTCTTTTATAATCAATGCTTAAAATAATTTGGGTTAAAGTACTTGGTGCCAGCTAACGATTCTCCTTTAGAAGTTGACTCCCTAGGGGAGCTGGGTTCCTCTTCCTCCCCTCTCTCCCCACCTGGGGTCTAAGCATGGGAAGGCTGCGTCTCAGTGGCACTGGGAAGGTGTGTGTCCTGTGTCCCTCATGACAGCTGTCCACTCTGTCCTTCGGGTGTGGCAGCTTGGTACCCACCGGGGTGTGTGAGGATGCTGCGTCTGCCCATCCTGCGGATGTAACTGTAACTGTGTCCTCTCGGCTGGGTGAGCGTGGCCTCCCTGAGCCTGTGACCTGGCTCAGGCTCACCTCCTTTGCCGATTGTGACACATCCTAGAGGGAGATTTGGTCACTAATTCCATGTGTTCTCTATCTTACCTTGAGCTCTCCTGTGACAGGGTTTCTTTGCCCCCCCCCCCACCATACAGTGACGTCATGCAGGAAAGTTTCACCCCGAATTTCTTCCCCTTTCAGCGCTCCCTGGGGACATTTCGGGACTGTGAAACCCATTACGTGATTGACAGTCCCCAGGAGGGTAAGAGGTACTTTCAGGTTTTCTTTGGGTTATTTTGAGTTGATTGTTCCGGGGAATCATTAACACCGGGGGAACTTCTGAAGGAAAGGGAGCAGGTTCTTCTTGTCAGGAAAATGTATTTCTACGAAGGAAACCTCTACCTGTAAATGTCTCTTTCTCTGTTCTACTCAGTTCTAGACCCCTGCAATAAAGTGAGCCACGTAGGTGTGCTGGCTTCCAAGTGCCTGGTAAAGTTATGTTTATAATACGGAAAGAGTATAATGTGTAAAGCAATACATAGCCCTCAATCAAAAATATTTTATCACTTAAAAAAAGGCTAAGGATCAGGCTGGTGGGATGCCTCAGTGGGTAGAGGCACTTGCCACCAAGCCTGACATTTGAGTTCACCCCCTAGGACAGAGGAGGACCAACACCCACAAGGTGTCCTCTGACCTCTACACCATCACGTGTGCTTACAAACACACAAAATAAATAAAGGAATGTCGTTTTAAAAGATTGGAGACAAGAATCGACAAAGACAATTGCTAAGGATCGTTTGGGCCTCTGGTCTTTGGGTTGTTTGTTGGTGGTTAAGGGCCTTGCCTGGATGTTGAGGGCCGAGGACTGCGTCACGTGACAGGTGGCAAAGGTTGGGACCCCTGTAACCATTTCTTAGAGTAAGATAGCAAAGTACTTTACCTGGTTGGCTGGATCTTGGATGGCAGGTTCCTCTGTGGAACACTACATGGTTGGTGGCATTTTACTCACACCGGGAATTCCAAGGTTGGAGTCAGCCCTCCTAAACCCTGCTTCTGTTTTTTTTTTTTTTCTGGAGACAGGGTTTCTCTGTGTAGTTTTGGTACCTGTCCTGGAACTCACTCTGTAGACTCGAACTCATAGAGATCCACCTGCCTCTGCCTCCCGAGTACTGGGATTAAAGGCGTGTGCCACCACCGCCCAGCACTCTGCTTCTAGTTTATTTACCATGTTTATAGAATGTTCTGGATCACTGTTATCAATTCAACAGTGCTCATAACCTTTTAACCAAGAGCAGCCATCCTAAGAAACTATTTTCTTATCCCCCCATAAGAAACAAGACCTCGTTCACTGATGTTTTACCGCGAGACTGCGCAGTTTGACCACATCTTCAGACTGGACATCTCCGCCTGGTTCTCCCCATAGCCTGTCTTTCCTCATCTTCAGATATTTCTTCTGCTGGAGGCTCAAAGCCCTGAGAATCATGGATGATGGCTGAAGTCAACTTCTTCCAAACTCCTGTCGATGCTGACATCCTACGTCCTCCCACAGATTATGGATGTTTTTATGGACATCTAGACTAGTCGGTCCTTCTCTGAAGATTTTCTATTGAATTTCCCCAGATCCACCAGAAGAATCGTTTTCACGGCCGCTTTCCTCTACAGAATATAGTCCTTAAATAGTAGGGCTGAAACGTTGAAATCATTCCTCCATCTGTGGCCTGCAGGATGGATGTTGTATTTCCAGACAAAGAAACATTAATCTCACCATGCAGCTCCACTCTGCTAAATGTAAATGACCAGGAAGATTATCAATGAGTTATATATATATATATATATATATATATATATATACTTAAAAAATCTTTCTTTCCCCTTGATTTGTAGATCTCAAAAAAAAAAAAAAAATGGGCTTGAAATATCCAGTAAACCAGGCTGTATCCAGACAGGCTGTCACCACACCCGCTCACTCTGTTCAGAAAGCACAGGCAGAGCAAGGATAACAACATTCTTAAGGGTTCCAGAACTTTCGGCACAGCCACTAGTGAGCATTGGCTTCAACTTCAGGTGACCAGCAGCACTGCCCTGAGCAAGGGTCAGCCTTGGCGGTTTGCCTTCTCGCTGGTCACCACAGTGCCAGGCTGTTTTTCTGGACAGGGCCGACCATCCGAGGAGCTGACTGGATCTTCTGAAGTGTGTGCTGCAGCCCTTACGACACCACTTCCTGCCTGACCTTTCACCTCCAGGTTTCTGCTTTCTTACTTGCTCGCTTCCAATTTCCCTCCACAGCTTTTCCTTGAACAGCTCGGCTGTGACCAAAGACCGCGCCCGAGCTTCCAGCCCTGTTCAGTTTGCCTTCCACACTGAGCATGGCCATTTCTAGCTTTTGACGTACAATGAGAAATGCGTGATTCCGCCTTCGACCAGAAACTTAGAACGCACGCACTGTAGGGTTGTTCACCGGCCTCATTCCAGAACCGCGTGTCTCTGAGAATAAAGAGACCTGAGGAGGGGAAAAGAGAGGTGGATGGGTCGACGGTGGAACAGTCAGAGCACACACGGTACTTAAGGTTACGTTGCATCCTGCTATGGCTTGCATGTGTCCCCTCTGAAATCCAAGTGACCAGTGAGATGGTAATAAGTGATTAGGTCTTGAAGGCTCCTCCCTTTATGAATGAGGCTGAGCCCTTTAAAGGATCCATCTCATAGAACCCAGCTCTTCCGCCCTACAATATATATATTGTAGGTCACACAAGCATATAGAATTCCTCCCCTCCTAAGAATGTGTAGTTGGGCACCGTCCTGGCAGCAGAAATGGAACCTGCACCAAACACTGCTTGATCTTAAGCATCCTTGCCTCTAGACCTCTGAGAAAAGAAATTCCCCATGCAGTGTCTAGTCTAGTATTTTGTAATGGTACAGACAGACTCAAACCATGGTCTGATCACACCTCTATGAGAGAACCCCACCCCCAAGAGATGTCAGAAGACCTCCCTATTAGATCCCACTAACACAGAACCGTGAGACGGTGGCCATGTTAGCTACTAAATGTTAGTTATGCACTATTAACAACCAGAAATGGGATAGGGGGCGAAGTTATTGTGCTTGGGAAAAGGAAGGCGAACCTAGAAGGGAGAAAGGACTGATTTTTTAAAAACAGTTCTTTAAATTTTTATTTATTTTTTATTTTATGTGCATTGGTATTTTGTCTGCATGTATGTCTGTGTGAGGGTGTCAGATCTTGGCATTACAGACAGTTGTGAGCTGCCATGTGGGTTCTGGGGATTGAACCCGGGGCCTCTGGAAGAGCAGTCAGTGTTCTTAACCGCTGAGCCATCTCTCCAGTCCTCAGAAAGGACTAATTTTTGCATGCCACTATTAAAGAAAAAGTAACAGATGGAGGGCTGGAGATATGGCTCAGCAGTTAAGAGCACTGACTGCTCTTCCAGAGGTCCTGAGTTCAATTCCCAGCCACCATATGGTGGCTCACAACCATCTGTAATGAGATCTCCTGCCCTCTTCTGGCCTGTAGGCATGCATGCAAACAGAACACTGTATACATAATAAATAAATGAATCTAGAAAGAAAGAAAGAAAGAAAGAAAGAAAGAAAGAAAGAAAGAAAGGAAGGAAGGAAGGAAGGAAGGAAGGAAGGAAGGAAGGAAGGAAGGAA